TTTTTTTTCTGCACTGATTACAAGTTATTCCTTCTAAATGTAAAACGTTTCCTGAAAGTACGATGTTGTTACACATTTTAATATTGAACTTTTGGTATACTCACAGGCTTATCGTTTATATAACTTGCTATCTTATACTAGCTTTTTCCCTTTTCATAAAGCAAGCAAAATAATTCAGGTTTCAGTGAATTACAAGTCTCTATAAGCCTATGCTGGTACCTGTTTAGTTTACATTCTTCGTGCAAAGCTACACTGTACATAATGGCTAGTACTCTTAGACTGATAGACCGGAGGGATGTCAGCTGGTCAACAGCACTCACCATCAGCTCTTGGGATACTCTTGTTTAACCCAATAGTGGGATTTGACCATTACTCTTATAGTTCACCCATACTCCAATATGAAAGCCTAATTTTGTGGAAATGAGAAGTGAATCAAGAATCTTCAGATTCACAGTCCATGCAAAATAACCACTAAGCCTTGTTAGCCAATAATGGTGTCAAGAAACTTGAAAATTCATTGGACTTACAGGGCTGTAGATTAAATCAATAAGCTTACAGTTTATTTCGGAAACAGATATTTGTTTTTATTTTTATAATTCATTCCGATCTTCTTCAGACTTAGAAACAATTGTATTTACATTTTGTGACTTCAAGTGGGAATTTATAATATTGTAAGCTATATTCTTAACACTGCAATTTATTTGTTGGTTAGAAGGATCTATGGGTCAATGATAATGCAATGTGATGTTAAGTTAAGGTTAGTTCTAGAAATATCTAGAACACTGGTATATTATATGTATATATATATATACGAGGTCCTGTGAAGCGTCAAGTGAGTTGTGCTATTTTGTACAAGTACATTTGAATATTACATGGAGTGTAAATGTAAGCCTAAGCAATTTACAAAAGATTGAAAGTAGTTTAATATTGTAGAAACATCTAAAGGAGAAAATAAACTGATTTCGTCTTATAAAGTGGAGTGAACGTTAATTTATTTTCACTTGATAATTTTAAAAGAACCCGCAAAGAAAGAACAAACTACAGCAAAAACTTTGAAACAAAAAATATAGTATGATGTTATAGTTCACAGTTAACGGATATGACATATACTCTGGATTTAAAATATGATGATAATTAATTACACACACACACATATATATATATATACAAATCATTTGTAACATTAAAACTGAAGAAGAGATTTACCGAAATAATTATGTAAAATTTTGTACCATACCTATTATGGTCCAGTGTGTGTGGTATTCAGGTATGTTTATTTTAACAGAAAAGTATAATGTATCCGCAATATACTGCACTTCCAGGAAATGTTATATAGAAAATAATTTCTAACATAGATAACAAGCTTCCTAGTGACTCAGCAGTAGGTTAATGGGTTTATAAAGCTTAAAATAAGAGTTTGGTATCTATGGTGGGCACATCATAGATAGCCCATTGTGTGGCTTTGTACTTAACAACGCTTACAGTTAACAAAAAAAAAACAACAACAAAAAAAAAAACATAACTGAAGAGATGAACAAAATCTGTATTCAAACTGTTAATATTACTGGAGTAGTTACCTAAACTGGCGAACTTCAGTATTTGGTATTGACATTAACTGGAGCAGATTGTAAACAAAAATACAAGAATCATAATGATATCACACTTTTAAGTCAAATTAAAGTCCTGATGTGATTCACCTAACTCCTAGAATACCTACATTAACGATCTTTCCTATTATACAAATTCGAACGAGAGAACTACTCGATTCATACTAACTTGTTGAAGTCTCTGTACCACCCATTGAAGTTAGTATGACCTCTCTGCAGGAGGACATGACTCACTAACAAAGAAACAAGGTCAAGGAAATGTTACACAGAACAATATTTGTAGAACGTACAAGATATGGAATTAAGTACAGGCTATAAACTTTCCATCTCTGATATACAAGGTCGTTATTAGTCACGTGCAGAACACTTGCAAGTAAATATATAGACAAAATTATCAGAACTTACAGTATGTTTGATAGTTGTTAAGCGCAGAGCTATACAAAGAGCTATCTGTGCTCTGCCCACCATGAGCATCGAAATCCGAATTTTAAAGTCGTAAACCTGCAGACGTACCACTCAGCCACTAGGGGGCCAAGAACTTACAGATATGTTACAACAGCAGAAGCCACAATGTATTGCACTAGTAAATCATCCAAAGTGTAGACCAATACAACAAGGCCTAACACAAAAATCATCTTCGTGTCAAAGTGAGAAAGTATCTTGTTTGTCAGTACGAATCACACATTCTCTAAAAAAATAATTTCTCCTCAAGCTTTAAACAATATTAGAGAATTGAAAAATCACGATCTACTAAATAAATTGTAAATATAAACACATGACACTATGGTTTGTTTGTTGACTTTCGCGCAAAACTGCTCGAGGGCTATATGAACTAGCTACCCCTAATTTTGAAGAAAAAGACCAGTTGGAAGAAAGTTAGTGAACAACATCCACCGCCAACTCTTGGGCTACTCTTTACCAATAAATATTCGGATGGAACATCATATTGGAACGACCCCACGGCTGAAAGGGCATCAAAATATGATGTTCCATCCCCAGTCCCACCAAACATGTTCGCTCCTTCAGCCGTAGGGCGTTATAAAGTGACGGTCAGTCCCACTAGTCGTTGGTAAAAGAGTAACCCAAGAGTTGGCGGTGGGTGGTGATGACTAACTGCTTTCCCTCTAGCCTTCCTCTGCTAAATTAGGGACGGCTAGCGCAGATAGCCCTCGTATAGCTTTGCGAGAAATTCAAAGCAAACAAACAAACCTGAAAGGGCGATCATTTTTGCTGATAGAATTCGAGCCAGCTACCCGCAGATTGCGACTCGAGCGCCCCCTAACCACCAGCTCATGCGAGATCCTACATGGCAGTAAAGGAAGAGTATAAGTTGTAGTCTAAGGTAATTGTTAAACACCATTGTTTCTTCTATTCATTTACGAGTTGATATTAAAAACACGCAAAAACTGTTAATTTACATCGATAAACCTAAAATTTTATCCACTATTGAAGTAAACTTTGAAAAATTCACAAGAAGCTTTCGATGTGATTGTATCAATTATTTGATCGTTTTTTAAATGTTTCGTCTCCTTGTGGGTCAAGTTCTCAGACTTACATTGTTAAAATCTGTAATTCGACTCCCCGGGGTGGCCATAGTGCGGATAGCCCATTTTATAGGTTTGTAGTAAGAAAACAATAACAGATATGTTTCGTTGCCCCTCGTCCATACTCAACATTACATATGAATATTTTATTTTATACATTCCCTATATAACTGAAGTGTTCTTTCATAAATGATTCAAGCAGAGTTTTCGTGTTGAACTTTTGAAAAGTCGTCCTTTCCACCTGAAATTGGACCTCAAGGACTTTCTCCTCAAGTGTACTTTGAACTATACATTGCTGCCCATTTCATCTTTGTTCAGTTGAAGGTTTGTTTGTATGTGTCTATATATAAATAATAAGCATAATGTATTCCTAATGTATATTTTATTATACATCTCTGAATATAATGTATATGTATAATGTGAAACATTTGAAGTTAAAATGTTGCAACTTCTGGACGTTTCAACTCTTTATAAATATAATAGAAAGTGAAAATAAAGTAGTTTCTGGGTGTATAACTGTTATTATGTGTGCAAAAGGCTTGAGTACGTTTGTTAACAAAACAAATTGTCATTTCCTGTTTATGTTGAAGTAGAAATTTCTCAATTAATTTCTACCACAGGGATTTTGTTTGTAATTAAGCACAAAGCTACACTTTTTTCTTTAATTTTAATGTCTGGTGAATTGGCCCCCCAAGTGGCACAGCTGTATGTCTGCGGACTTACAACGCTAGAAATACAACGCTCTGTGCAGAAATTCAAAAACAAACAAACCTTGTTAGAAGGAATCCACGTGCCTTTGAATATTAATCCTACTGTTACTAAAACTGTTCCTAAGTTTCTTAAATTTGTCTTTTTGCTTAATCATATTTAGTCTTCAGTTTAGATCCCCTCCTCCTCTAGACATTAGTTACTCACTTATTTATATATGTGTCTTAGTGTACATAAATCTGCTAGCATTGGAAAACACCAAAGAGTTGTTGTTGTTTGAAGTTAAGTACAAAGCTACACAATGAGCTATCTGTGCTCTGCCCACCACTGGTATCGAAACCCGGATTCTAGCGTTGTAAGTGACCTTTGAGCGACCTTGTGGCCATGATAAATATTCTGGTTAAACGTATAGAGTCGTATATGTATCTTTTAGTAGAAATACTAAGCCACGTTACACATGATAAAAACTACGTATTAATTTTTACGTTTGTCTTTCATTTCGGTAATTTAAATATTCAATTCACCAGTTTGTTTGAAGTTAAGCACAAAGATATACAACGGGCTAGTTATACTATGCCCACCACAGGTATCGAAACCCGATTTCTAGCGTTGTAAGTCCGCAGACATACAGCTGTGCCACTGGGGAGCCAATTCACCAGACATTGAAATTAAAGAAAAAGTTTATGAAAACACAAGCACACGTAAACATAAAATATGTTTAATATTAGTAATAAATTGGAGTACAATTTCTGTCTTATCACATTCCGTTAAAAATAGTAATACCAAATTAATTAGCCAGAAAGACCCCCTAACTGGAAAGACACTTTAATCAACTCAATTTCACGTAAACACATGTGCCATAATGTGTGACATACTTACACCCCTCCCTTCCATTCCATTCTCTCTCTCAAACAAAAAAAAAAAAAGGAAAGGAAAGAAAAAAAAAGACAACATTCCAAGCACGATGACAAAAAATGTTAAGATATGAAAATCAGGCATTTGTCTATTGGTTAGAGTAGAAGGTCAATAGTCCATCTTGGCCAATGGCTAAAATGTTTATCACTCGAAATTGGCCAAGGAAAAAGGGGGCGATTTTCCTCCTGCTTTTTCCCGCCGATTGGTTAAGTAAAGTATTATGAGACTTCTGTTGCAGTTAGGATAGATCCTTGAACCCTGAGCACGTGCTGTTTACGCGTTTGTAATCCATTGAACTGTTTGTGCTGCTTTCTTACTGCTAGTGAAAAGTGTTAGAACTGTGGTTTACTAGGCCTTTTTGCAGAGTAATATTATTCTAACTTTAAGGTATGTAGCTTTAAGTGTAAGCATTTTCAGTGCTAAATTAGAGTTAATTTTAATTTTATGATTTCATTGATATAGGCATGAACGTCGAAAGTTTTTCTTTTCTTTTCAGGTTCCACTGAGTATTTTCACACAACTTCTAGTACGTTGATTATTTTTGGCAGCGATGCAAGAATGCTTATTTCGGTGGACCCCTACCGACATGACATGATAATTGCTTCAACCCTGACTAAAATAGTATTCGTTGTTCTTGTGACCAGTTTAGTTAAGAGTTCACAAGGTAATTAAGGTTATTTGTTATGTAAGTCACTTTGCACTTGAAATCGAACATTCGCTATTATTCAGTGTTAGCGAATTTTATAAAGATCTACCTTCAAAGAAGTTTAAATTTTGTTGTGAAAACTATAAGCTATAATTATATGTAAAGTAGGGTATGCTAGTACAATAGCTATTGAACTTTTATTTATTTTGTGTTTGGTTAAACTTAATCAGTTATTTTCAGAGTTCAAGCTTTCAAAAAAATTAAAGCTGTTAAGTATAAAACGTTTGTATTCGTTGTTTATAGTAATATGGTGACAAGCTAAACCAAGTATTTATCTTTATATCTTATGGTATCTTTATTATTTGCCTACGATAAAAAAATAATTGTTTCCAGTTCTACGGATTATTAATAATAACAGTTTAAAGGAGGTACAATAGTCTCGTTGAACCAGTGAATGCAAACTCTTCGTAATTAGCAAGCAACTGAAATTTCAGCGGAAAAAACATTGGTGTGTGAAAATACGCTTTGTATACGTCACAGAAACAATGAGGGGATTATATTAGTCCAAAGTTTCACGAATTAGCATGTTTTGGGTAACATTTTTAAGGCTTCAAATTAAGATACTTCATGGATAAATATGTTAAATTTTAGGATTAGGTTAGATTTGTAAATAAGAAATTACATTATATGTTGCATTCTTCTGACGCTCGAAGAATTTGATCCACCATGATTATCTGTTGTAAAATATTACCATTAAAAGAAACATTAATTGCGACGTGTTCCGAAACGGAAATTAATTTTCCATCATCACGCTAAAATATGTGGCATGGCCTGAACTGATGGTTATATTATATACATGCAAAGTAGCAAATAAACGTAACGTAGCAAGAGTAAGAAATCAAATACTAAAGCATGCCTTTTAATAACTACGCACAGCACCACTATCACACAGACATATTGAGAATAATATCACATTTCCTGAACAACATGATGGATGAGTCAATGCTTCGGCTGGTCTGCAAACAAAGCCGCCTTGTTGTACTCCTTAAATTTAAGGCGAAACTTTATATCGCTACATACTCCTATTACAGTTACTAGTCACGGTTACAAAAATTAAAGCTGATTATTATGTTTTTAATACAACCAAATATCTAACTTTTGTGTTAAGCAAAAGTTTAATCTACAATTTAAGATGGGAGGTTTATTAAAAAAGAAGAGAGAGAGAGAGAAAGAGGCCTAAATGATAGATTAAATGTCGCGTTGGAATTCGTTTCAGACCACCACGACCAGCTAAAACCAGTATGAACCGCCTACACCCCAGTGCCCTTTGACCTGTCATCTGTGTTAGTTACTAGTACTACACTTCGTAATATACTGACTATGTTGAAATAACTTCAGCGTCACATTAGTAGATATATTACTTCTATTGTGACTACTGAAATTATGTTAAAATGGCTTCAGTAGTCAAAAAAGTTGAAATTCTTCAACTTGTTAGATGCACTTAAAATTTTCCATTAAGTAAATTGTGTCTTAAATATTAACAGATGCGTGTAATCCGAGTACTTCAGTACATGTATATATTGTACACTCTGTAATGACGTTTCCTTTTTATTTTGTTTGTGGCTGATATTCTTTAAAAACCAAGAAAAAAAGTATAACCTTAATTTGTCATCATTACTGTTTATATAAGGATTATTTTTATACCTTTATCTGTTTAATTATATCTCTAGATCTTATAAGTGGAAAATTGATCGTCCAACAAGATGGTAAAACTAACCAGAGTAGTATAGTTTCTACCGATGTAAATACCACGCTGGTCTTGGTACTAAATGACGTCAATAGGCATTTACAAACAGCGAAGTTATCATTTACCTGGACAATAGAGGACAAACCATTTGTGGATGTAGGTTCAAACTTAAGCTACGTATTTAGCACTCCAGGTAACCATACTGTCCATGTCGTCGTTGTTGCAAAGTTACCACCTCGTGGGGACCCAAAAGATTCCAACTACAGTGATGATGATGATATGTTCATGTGGGGATTCTTCAGTGAGCAAATAGTTGCGAAAGGTTGGTGGTTTAATAATAATAATGTTTTGTGTGTTATAACCCGTTGAACTTTGCATATTTCACCTAAAGCTGTTTGATAAAAAAACAAAAAACGATTGTTTGTTTTAGAGCGAAGCCACATTGGGCTATCTTCTGGGTCCACCGCAGAGAATCAAACCCCGGATTTTAGCTTTGAAACAAACGACCGACACTTACAGCATGCATTTTTCTAGGTTATTATGCAACTACATTTTAGAAAGTAGTCAAAAGACTTAGGGATATGGTTAATTGTTGAGGAAGGGGTGAATAATTATATTTGAAATTTTGGTGTGCGATTTAAAGGTTACACTTTTTAACCTGCAGCAAAATCTTTGTTGGGACATTGCCTGTAATGTTTTTTTTAGATGACTTGTATATCATGGGACTATATAATTAAAGAAAATTAGGGGTTTAATGCTCAGTTATCAGAACGAGCCCTAATGTTAAAGTACTTGAACAGTTTGTAAACATTTGAAACTTCAATTAAGCTATTTGGACTTGTCTAGAGTTTTTAGCATACTGCAAGGCGAAGACGGATTGATGTTATAGAAAAATGAAGGTGTCACAGTGTGATTTTTAAATTTTTGTGAAAATGCAGGAAATCTAGGGTGGATGATCTTGTGTTAAAACCCCAGTACACCACCAGTATTTCATCATAAATGTGCATCAAAGGCCAACTTCAAGTGGGTGCCAACCAGCCATAGCGTTTGCGATAAATCTTGTGTAAATTACGTGTTTGTAAACAACTATTTGCATTTCTAGCATACCATTGCATTTGGTGTATGCATTTTTTGTGGCGGTCTGGTACTTATAATAATTATTGTAATGTGTACTGATTCACAGATCACGAATTGCTTCTATGTGCAAACTAAGTACAAAATTGTGCTGCAGTCTAGGATATATATAGTTGTCATAGCTAACTCGTAATTCATGGACATTGATATCTTTCGAAAACAAGTTGTTTGCACCTCTACCGTTTGATAAGCTCTTACGTCAGTTGCCGGTCAATTTCGAATCAAAGTCGGCCATC